TTTCTGCAAAGCAGGGCTCCAACTAAACTCGTCAAAATGTCACTTTGGCCGCCGGCAGCTCGCTGTCCTTGGACACCTTATCGATTCTTCTGGTGTTCGTCCCGATCCTGAGAAAATCCGTGCCGTCAAAGATTTCCCTGTGCTGACCTCTGCGAACGATGTTAGAAGCTTTGTGGGCCTTTGTTCTTACTTTCGTATATTTGTGCGGAATTCTGCTGACGTCGCACGACCGCTCACGCAACTACTAAAAAAAATTTGACTTTTGTGTGGGGACCTGAAGAAACCAGAGCATTCGTTGAACTCACGAGTAGACTTACGACGCCACCGATTCTCGGCCACTTTGATATATGCGCTCCAACGGAAATGCGTACCGACGCCAGCGGCCACGGAATCGGAGTCGTTTTGGCACAACGACAGCATGGCTGCGAGCGCGTTATTGCATACGCTAGCCGTCTTTTATCGCCAGCAGAGCGAAATTACTCCATCACAGAACGCGAATGCCTCGCACTCGTCTGGGCAGTGGCTAAATTTCGGCCGTATTTGTATGGACACCCGTTCACGGTTGTCACTGATCACCACTCCTTATGCTGGTTGTCGTCCTTAAAAAAGATCCTAGTGGACGTCTCGGCCGGTGGGCTCTATGGCTACAGGAATATTCCTACACGGTTGTCTACAAATCAGGTCGCCACCATGAATATGCTGATTGCTTGTCGCGTCATCCAGTAGACCCAGCAGACCTTTCTGAGAGCGATGAGTCTACTTGCGTTTTGGCCCTTTCCGCGTTTAGCAACATCGGAGATCAGCAACGCCGTGATCCTCACCTCAGAGATATAATCCTTCGGCTTAGTGGTCCCACAACTGCTCCGTCTCTCCGTATGTTCCTGCTCCAAGATGGCGTCTTATATCGCTACAGCATGCATCCTGACGGACCTGAGCTGCTGTTGGTCATACCACAACATATGCGTCAGACTGTAGCGTCAGACTGAAGCGGGACGCCTTCAACCCATTCAGATCCCATCCGAACCATTTTATAAGGTAGGTGTTGACTTACTAGGACCGTTTCCTTTATCGGCCAGCGGAAACAAGTGGATAGCAGTCGCCACGGATTACACTACTCGGTATGCCATCACACGGGCCCTTCCTACCAGTTGTGTGACCGATGTCGCTGACTTTCTTCTAGAAGACGTCATACTACACCACGGCGCTCCTCGGCAACTGCTCACCGATCGGGATCGCTACTTTTTATCACAAGTTATCCAAGACATATTTCACTCTTGCGCTACAAAGCACAAGTTCACGACGGCGTATCATCCTCAAACGAACGGGCTCACGGAGCGGCTAAATAGAACCATCACGGACATGCTCGCCATGTACGTTTCTTTTGACCATCGTGACTGGGACTTCGCCCTTCCATTTGTAACATTTGCCTTTAATACGTCTCGGCATGACACTGCAGGTTTCTCGCCATTTTTCCTCCTGTACGGACGAGAACCTACGTTGCCTCTCGACACGCTCCTTCCTGCCGTTGGCCACACGTCAGAATATGCCCGCGATGGGATTTCTAGAGCTCTAGAGGCACGTGAGATTGCTCGCCGGCGTCTGAGCGATTCGCAGGAACGACAACGACAGGTCTACAATGCGTACCATCGTGATGTCTACTTCAGTCAAGATGACACAGTCCTTCTCTGAATGCCGTCGCGGCGAGTTGGCCTGTGCGAAAAGCTGATTTCACCGTACTCGGGTCCGTACCTTGTGGTGCGCCAAGTCACCGACGTGGCGTATGAAATTGAACCTCCTAACGCCACCAGCGCGCGATGGTGTTCTGACGTTGTTCACGTCACTCGGCTGAAACAATTTTACTCAGACCAACCAAGCACCGAGACGGTGCCTTCGCCACCGGGCGTGATGCTACGGGGCGCCACAAATGAACATTCTAGAAAAGAGGACGATGTTTAGCGCGAGCTCGTGCAGACCGGGCTCCATATTGTATGCCTGCCTGTTTACCAAAAGTAAAGGTATTTTTCAGACGCCTTCTCCCCGTAACGATATGAACAGCGCAACCCAAAGTAGTTACAGCGTAACTACAGAAGCTGTACCTATTTTTATGTTGCGCTCTTTGTACATTTGTTTGTGCCCTACCAACTTGCCCAAGTTTTAATGCTTCATCTGAAACAGCGATTTCTTTTACACTCACTGTAAATCTGGAACGTTACTCCAGGAATAAAGACATGCCCAAATAACACTAATTCCTGGCCTAGCAGTTGAACCCTTCGATCATAGAAACCTATGGCCAATCCTGTTGAACTCTTACTTCGGTGAATTATTTTATATGTGAGGTGTAACGTCCCAAAACCACCATATCATTATGAAAGACGCCATACTCAAAGGCTCTGGAAGTTTGGATCACCTGTGCTTGTTTAACGTGCACCCATATCTGAGCACCCGGGCCTACAGCATTTCCTCCTCCTTCGAAATTGCAGCCTCCACAGCCGGCATTCAATCCTGCGGTTTATGGGTCAGCAGCCGATTACCGAAGTCACTACACTACCGTGGTGGAACCTCGGTAAATTATTGGAGCACATTCTCCTCCAAAGACTGCAACCATGCACCGAAGCGCGTGAATTTTTTCTAGACACACTCTTTATGTACCGGGTCCATCTTCCCACGCAATACACACTTCTCCAGTTATAAGAGGAAGTAAAGAACAAGCCACGTTCTGCGCAAACTAGATCTTTGCTTTTCTTGGACAACTGCGGTGCATTTTGCAACGTTTCGCATGACATAATACTGGAGAATGTTGCGTCGTCGTGGTGAGGACGATAGGTTCACGCCTATGTGAAGGCCTTTCTAACAGAGAGGACGGCAACCATTGTATATTATGCTCCTTTCGCAGTGACATCATAAAGCTCACGTGTAAAGACACGCCACAAGGTTTGGAGTTGTGCCCCATCTTTTTTGAACATCGATATAGCTAAACTACTGTCTATACTGACCACCATTCCAAGTCTGCGACATGCTTTATACGCACACGACATCACTATATGGCTTACCAAAGGCTCACATGGGTCAATAGAAGATGGGCTCTAAGAAGCAGTAAATATAGTTCAGGCATATGCATGAGCAAGGGGGTCTAACATGCTCTGCAGATAAGTCGGAACTTGTGCTCATTCGTTGTCTCTATTGAAATCACCGGGCAACAGCCCACTGATCACAGACACCTTAGAAGACCATGTGATGCCCTGCGTACAGAAACTCTACCTTCTTGGCCTTTTTATTAGAGCTGATTTCAAGGTAATGCACACCATAAAAATTTTAGAACAGCAAGTTTCTGAAATTACGCATACGATCCACCACTTTACTAACCGAAGGCATAGATTTCAGGAGCCAAGCATTCCACCTATAGTGAGTGCCTGCAGAGTAGCTGCGTCACCTGCCACGTCCATTATCAGACCCTAATGCCTGCACAAGAGACATGACTAGGCATTCTCCTTCGCAGAGCCGACAAAGCCACGCTTGAACTACCCACGTACGCATTCATTATGCATCTTTTAGCCATCGGAAGCCACAACAACCTAAGAGAACCAACCGAAGCACAACGCAATAGTCAGCCAAAAAGACCCCGCAACAACCATGTGAGAGAGCAGCTACTCGTCAGGCTAAGGTACCTTCCGAACCGATGCAGATACAACACACCAGCGAAACAGCTACCCAGTCACCTACGAGCAACGAATACAATCGCACCCCTTCTACGCAATATGAACCTTAAGCGCAACAATCAGTGCAGGTAGGCAAGGGTAAAAGATCTCGTTCCCCTCATTAACCAGTCTCTCCTAAACACTCTTTTATACTTCAACGCCGCTAGACACCACTCCTACAGTTTCACAGTTGGAGCAGTAGTGTACAACTATCATAACCGAGTAACATCAATTAGCGTACGTCTGAAAAAGATATCTGAGGACGAAGAGCGTGCCCTCGCTCTGTCGATTCCCCACGCTGCCTTAAACCTTCCTCACACAGAAGTTATTGCAATCTCTACAAATTTACAAAATACCCGTCAAGCCTTCGCATGGGGTGTCGTCTAACAGCACAAACACCTAATTTGAAACACTGGATTCCACACACCGCAAAATTTCCGTCTTCTCGGGACCCCTGGGCACGCCTCTCTCCCCGGCCTTGACTGCGCATATGCAGCTACCCAAGCACTCACTAACCAGGATCCGGAGGAAGAGCTATCTAACCTAGATAAGGACGCAAACACGAAATTTCTTGGATATCGAGACACTCTCCATTGCTATAGACGAGAACGAATTCGGTATCATTCACCACTCCACACGCTCACACGAGAAGATGCAACCGTGCAACCATGGTGTCTCAACTGCCGGCCAACGCATTTCAAAACATCTATTTTCTTCATATCCTCCATTTCACTTCTTATCCTGAAAAATGCCCTGGCTGCGGAGTCGTCCCGACGTTATTTGACGTAACGCTGGTAAGACAGCGTCAGCCTCCTCTCGCATTCCGACCTTGTAAGACTGGGAGGCCACGCTGTGTGATGAAAGTCCGAATGACCAGTCTGTGCTGGTTCGTCGGGCAAGGGACGCGGCAGTGGCTCTTGGAGCTCTGGACTGAGAGCCCAACCCGATATTACTTTGACTCTAATAAAAAGTTTCTCTCTCAGCCAACTGCATTTGCGAGGACTTTGAATGGTACGCCCAAGGTGAGGTCTGTTGTGATTTCCTGGAGTCTCTGGGGTTCAATGGCTTCGAATAGCACTCACATTAGTTGTTTGGCAGCTGTGGTCATGCTGTCCCTGGGCAATGTATAGTTGATAACTTGAAGCGTATAAATGCACTCCGTACACTTAGAAATGAATGAAAACAGGGCATTTGCAATGTAGCTGTGCGTAACTAATTTATCTCCGGCACCAAAGATAACTCGCTAACCGGAGACATCTATTCTTATAGCAACTGATTGTGCCCTATTTATTGACGATTGTTCAGGTGGCCTCTCCAAAGAGAGCAGCTCGACCAGCTCGAGCAGTTCCAACAGCGCGGGCTGCCTCGGTCCTGATGGTGGTGCGGATGACGTGACACCTGTAAACACGCCTAGCCAGTCATCGGCTATACCTGCCTGCTTCGTGGTTTGGGAACGCGCGCCGCTGCCCGGAAGATCAGCACTCGTCACGAGGGCAGGCAACCTGCCTCAGGTATGCAGAGCACGACAGGCAGTCTCAGCGTTTCAAATGAACTTTGCCTCCACACTATCAAGTACGAGGCAACCTGATCTATTATCTGACACTCATGAAGTCACATGGTAAACGTAAACAGCAGACACTCTCATTGAACCATGTGGTCCAACGACTGCTCACGCTCCAAGGGGCCGGAATTTTTCGCGCACCAAGTTCCTTTTCTGGCCATGCCATTGTGTACGATGGTTTCACTTTGGAATCAATATTCCGTGCAATTATGTTGCGTTTTTTCTCTTTTTATTCATGAAACTACGTTTCTTGGCCGTTTTAAAGGACATAATAGGCCACAGGCATGTCTATCAGCATCAGCTCTACCATTCGTTTTAACTTCACGCATTCACTAACGAGATGCCTTTTGAGAACAGCCTAAGGTTTTAGATTTGAACATAATTTTTCACTTGACCATGGTAACTAGCTATACGAACTTGGAACTGGAAAGCCTGTTTCACTTAGGGAAATTTCCTATTCTAAGTTATTTAGGCGAAGCATTGCTATTGTTTGTTTCATCAACTGCATTGGGAAATCATGCCATGCCACTTAGCTATGGAGCTCAAGCTGAATGGTTTTTGAGAGTTGGGTAACCAGCTATCCGAGTATATGTATAGTGGAAAAGTTATGAAAAGCTATTGCCTGAGATAAAGGCTGCAACTCTGAGGCTCAGCCAGAATCTATTGACCGTAGAAGGCCTGTAGTTTTATCTCACGGGCACAAAATTTCCCACCAATTGAAAAACATATGCGAGAAAAGTGGCATGCTAGTGGTGGTTTTAGTGCCGGACAAGTTACAGCGGCTTCGCAAAGTAGCCAATCCCCTAAAGTCACGCGCCACTGTTTGCTCAACCAAGCTCAAAATGTGGTTTGTGCCATGTCAAAGCGGTGACGTTTACTCGATGCCACCCCCATGGGGTAAAAGGCGCAATAGCCGAGCAGAGCTCTGACCTAATGAAAGGCTAAAAGAGCTTAAATGGAATGTGCACCAAGCAATTTAGCAAGACATTAGAATTCACTGTCACAATTGTGGATATTCCCCTCTTCTTGTTCAATGCGAAGTGATAAAAAAGCAACGTCCACAAATCACTAAACAAATAATTGAAGCGCGTTGTTTAGCAAGAGAAGGTATCACATGTATCAGCGCCTCTTCGCTGGCTTTATCCGAAACTCAAGTGTCCTTCCTTAACCGGGTGAGCCATCTATAAATCCTTGGTCTGTGACAATGCGACAGTGCTGTTTGATCTTGGTGATACGTTCGGGTGTGCTTTGTATCCTTCCGCAAATATACTTATTTGATCCAATTTCCGAATATGGCTCCGTTGCCATCTAGCGCTCTGTCCTCTTGTGTCGGTCTGCTCTGCCACTTCTGCTTTACCGTACTGATCTATACTAGTTCAAGTAGCACAAACATACTCGCCCAATCTGGTACACTTGTAGAAAATATAAAAGGCTAAAAAACCAGAAGACCAAAAAGAAAACGGTCAATAACTAAGTGTGCCAAGGATAAGGCATCTGAGCAGTTAAAAGGTCAATACTCACAAGATAAAGAAAAACGTTTGAGGAAACTCTTCAGACTTTCATAAAATCATTTCCTGAAATATTCTTAGTGACTCATTTATTTTGCGTGAAAGATGTGAAAGATACAAAAATTTATGATTTCCCCAGTCAACATTCATTTCAAAAAATTCCGCCATATCCACGAAGTGAATGATGATGAGTGGGCGAAGCTCCGGAGGTAAAGCTGGTAAAGCATGAATCCTCTGTACATTTTGCCCACTCGATTTTATTACATCGCTCCCCCTAGCGTACGTCGCCGCACTAAATCGAACGATTGCCTTCAACCAAGGACACGCGCCATATGTGACATCATTCCTATTTTATAATATCTCGCGTCTTTCATCAACTACAAGTACCGCTTTCTAGTTTATAACATCTTGCATCTTTTCATCATCAGCTACAAGTACCACCATCTAGTAAACACTACAAGAACTAAACGAGAGGTGGCTACATACAGGAGACGGTACCGCCATCTAGTGAACACTGCAAGAACTAAACTAGAGGTGGCTACATAGAGGCTACAGGGGACGCACAGCCCACGCCCTAAGGAGCTTCGCCCCTAAAATGTCTTCACCGAAAGCAATGGTTGTCTATGGCAGTTTGGTATGTGAGGGCCTCGGATGCGTGACATAGAAGTCTATGAACAAGGGTGCTCTGAACTCAGTATTAAACTAGAATTTTAAAAAGTCGTCTGGGCCTGACAGAGTTTCTAACGCCTTTTTCAAGAACTATGCGGAGTGGTGCTCCTAGTTTCTGCATGTACTCTTCATGAGATAATTAAATTATTTTTCATAGACAATGGAAGAAATGCCCAAATCCAGCCTATTAATCAATCTAATGATAAAAATGTATTACAACTTATCACCCAACATCATCAACTTCTACAGCATTCTATAAATTAGTTTTTAAAGACGTGTTCATCTTTCCTAGTGAACATAAAGTACTAACGGGTGTTCAACGTGGTTTTCGACAGGAATATTGTACAATTGTTCAATTTGTTCACGACTTACATAATTTTGCTTAGGCTTTAAATAGGGGTAAACATTTGGACGGAATCATCGTGGACATTGAAAAAGCAATCAACAAAGTGTCGCACAAAAACTAATCCTTATACTATGCTATATATAAAAAAACTCGGCAGATTCCACGGACCTTGAGAATGGATGTTATGCAAAGCATGCAGAAATATTCACTAGGATTTGGTCATATTTGAATTCGCTTTCTTAGTGTATTGTTCAATAAGGTTTCTTACGAAAGGGTGTCAAACGATTCTGGTTTTTCCCAGGGGACCATTCTTAGGCCTCTGCTTATTGGGGTGTTTATAAACGATATTGTTAAAGACGTTTCAACCCGTATTTGTTGTATGGAGATGGTTGCGTGCTGTATCAAAGTGTTAGGTCTATACAGTATCGGACCATGTACTGTATCGTCCAGGCGTTTCACCTCCGTGATTTTCATGAAGTCATTTTCATCATTTCGTGCAAGTAGACTACCAGGGACTCGCCTGGGGAGGCCCGCGCCACACCTAGCCTCCATGTGTTCTCCTGAAACAGCCTGCCATATTGCACGTGCAGAGAGTCGAGATAAACGCGCGTTCAGGCGTGAGTACGTCGTTGCTTTGAATGATTATCATTCAGAGCATGAGTTCCTTCATCCTTCAGTAATGCAACCCTTCCTCTTACTGCCTTCTTTTTGCGGAAATGCCTTCAATGTGGCCTTCAAGATCTCTTCTGAAGTAGCTTCCGGGGTCACTTTCGGAGTTACTCGGGGGGTCGCGCTAATAGTCTTCTCCAGGACGTTTCAATATCATCCTTCCGTAGCGCCGGGAGCAGTCACCAGCTTGCATTGCTGGAGCGGGGACTAGGTGTTCTTCTCAACATCGTCACGACCAGTTCGGGATCAGTCATCCTCGCTAAGATGGCCGGCCAAGCGTGCACTACTAACTACTCGGGGGACGGGAGGAGCAAGTCCGGAACGCAAGCGTGGTCGATTATATTAGCCATGGTTACTGACATCGAGGTAGGAACGAACTTGACGTCGTGCAAGTGGACCCATCATACATCTATGAGCCTCAGGTGTCGGAAAATCTTTGCCAGCTTTTTGGCTTGGTAAGATGACTCCCCTCGTCCTGGACCCTGGACGTCCCTTGTCGTGTCTACAACGCAATTAACATCGCTGAAAATCAGGTGTGGCAGGGGCTTGAGCAAACATTCGTGGAGATCCTTCAAAAGGAGGTTTCGTTTTTGTTAGTAACGGGCACATAAATGTTTACAAAATGGATCCCGTTGATGAAATTGTCGACCATTACTGCGCGCCCCGAAAATGCAATTCGAACTTTGCCGAAACCTCCCTGAAAAGAAAATGACGCCGCCTGACCTGTTGACAAAAAAAAAGCCTTCGACACGGCAGTGTTGCCGCAACTTGACCACGGTAAGCTGAGGCCTCAATTTGTCTCCTGAATTAAAAATCAATGAATTTCCGGCTCTTGAACAAACGATAAAACAAAACGTTCCTTGTCCTTTTAACGGAACCCGCGGACATTGCAGCTTACGAATTTGAGCAGAGACATCGCATAGTCCCTGGGAGTTCAAAGATACAAAGGAGGGGAAAACCCGGAAGGGTGGTGACGGTGTGGTTCTGTAGTGAGAGGAAGTCTAGTACTGTGCAGTCACGCTGCACTCTGGTGTACTGGGGGCTCAGCTGGAGCAGGGACTGCGCAGTGGCAGCTAGCTTCAGGGAACGCGTTAGGGCTGTACACGACGGCGGGCGTTGTTCAGGGTCCTCGAGCCCTCGGATTGAGTGGGGGGGGGGGGGGTCGCTGTGCTGAAGGGCCCGAGCCGAGACCAGCGTGTGGCAGCCACTCGTGAGAGGACGTTGCGGCACAGCCACGGGTCCTTGTTTATTTACATAGGCTGAGTTCCGAGGAGTCAACGTCTACATGACGTCACCCCGAGACGGTCACAGTGAATCGATGAAAGACAGCTATTTCGACATTTTGACCTTAGCCATAAGGCCAAGCAGTGGTCGTTAAACTAGTGTATATGTTAACCGAAACAGCTCAGCTACTAGGCTGAAGGTCAAGAATGTTCTCAACGCCCAGCAATCTTGATCTGGTGTCTGCGTTCTCACAGACACCAGATTGCATTGATACCGTGTATGTATTGTAGAATAAAAAATTGTGAGGTTCCACTTACAGTGATGATTGATGATATGCGAAACACTAATGAAGAAGTTTAATCTGTCACTTTAAAATAGGCAAAAAGTTACGAGGCGAACGTAAATCATGTCATACATGGCTTCATTTACGTTATTGTCAAGTTGGGACGTGTCTTGTACATTTGTCCCTTTTTAATGTCTCGTGATACCAAATTTGGTATATGTGGAGCTAGCGAAATGGCTGAGAACACGCTA